GGGTCGTTTTCAGACTCTAAAACAGGGTCGTTTGTTCTATGCGGGTGATGAGTGTGTTCCAGGTAACCCCCCCAAAAAATGTAAACATTCAAAATAGGAATTAGAGAATTCTTGTTTATAAATCTAATTCTGTTTTTTTATTATTGTTTAAACCCAATATATTTAAAAAAAAATGTTGGTACTTTATTTGTCCCCATGAGCAGGTTAAGTTATGATTTAATGATGATTACAGGAATTACAGCATGCGGGCCAAATGCCAGAAACTGTTGGAACACTGAAGGAAGTTATAAATGCTCCTGTAAGAATGGGTTTACTGGATGGAACTCGTTGTCTGGCTGCAATGATATTGATGAGTGTAAACTAGGTAACATTTCGATTTTTCTAAGTACTTTAAAGGACCGTAAAAATAACATTTTTAAAGTAGCATGTGTGATTATCAATGGTGCCTGGTAAACCTTATGTAAACCTCCTTTTTTTAATTCCAGAAAGTCTTGTTAATGTTGATAACCTAACATTCAACTTTCAATAAGTTTTTCAGTGAAATAATTAATTTCATTCAAATTATTTAAAATTTTTCAAAGATTTTGTATCTACAATCCAGTTTCTCTGTATAAGTTGCTCACAATTTGCAAGAAAAATACGGATACCTCTGTCGTCACTACAATGATTACTGAGTAGTTTTATCTCAAACTTCTTTTTTCTTCACTGCCTGAATTTCTCCGTTATTTAGATTTTATGAAAGTATGCTGAATGTTGACTTAATAATAATTACTCTTAACAACTTTTGTTAATCACTTTACAACCTGGAAAATTGCTAGATATTATAGTTTTTATAGGTTTGCATCATCAAGGACCAAATCAAATGCATTTAAGCTAGGTGTATAGAGATGGTTCAACAAGGTAATTCGAATCGGGGATTCAGGATTTGGCCATGTCTAAATGTAAACTCCACAGCAAAAGTGAGTTCAGCGACCTAGCTAAAATTCATAATGTTGGTCCCTGATAGTGTAAACATACATATAGCAGACTTTATAGTTGGAAATCTATATGAAATGAGGTTTGAAATAAACAGGAATTATAAGTTTGATGAGAGTAATCAGTTTCTATAATCTAGGTTCTCACAACTGTACTGGAAGCCTCCCAGTTTGTGTAAACTCCATAGGAAGCTACACATGTGTGGGTAACTAAAAAAAATTAAATTTTTAAGAATTATAAATTCAATGAATATTATAAGTCCCTATTTAGCCCCTGTAAAGCTGACAGGTGGAGCAACTTCTAGAGAAGGAACAGTTTATGTTTGGAATCAACTGAATCAAAGATATGAAGGAGTTTGTGATGATTCATGGGATATGTAAGAATTTAAATTATTTCAGAAATTATAATCATCCTAAGAAAACATCAAATCTAACTTTTGTTTTACTCAACCATTTAAAAAAAATCTAAAAGTTTTATCTGTATTTTTTTGTAAAGATAGGGTTTCAACTTTATTAAAAACAATTAAAAGTAGACTGTAAAATGATGTTCGTCAAAAAAAATAAATAACTTTTATAATTTGTATTAAAAAAAATATCAAAATAATAAAATACTAAAAATGCAACCACAAGGATGGCTGTAAAGTCTTAAATTGTGCAAATTTCTTAAAATAAGAGGAAGTATTTTTACCCTCAAACTAACATTAAAACTGTTCAAAGTAAATATTTAATATTTCCTTCAGAATTTACTGCTCATCTTGTGGAATTATGAACATGTTACTCAGCATAGAGTTTGGAGCTCACATAAAATTAGAAACACATGGCTAACCTTAAAATAAAATGATATAAACACATCAATTTAACACAGTTCATATGAAAACATAATATTGAGAATTATTTGCTTAACGTGTAACAAACTTTCCAATTCCTGTATCTTTGCAAGCTGATGATGTAAACCTTTGATATTTTAAACTCAGATTATTTGATCTAACAAAATGCATTGTTTGAAATTTCAAAGGTCGACGACATTGGGTTGCAAAAAGATAGGAGTGGCTAAATTCTTTCTACAAAAAATGTTGTGTAAAATCCTTGAATTTTTAGCCAAGATGCGACGGTTGCCTGTAGATGGCTTGGTTTTGGAGGAGGGTCCCCTACTACTAATAGCTTTTTTGGTTCCGAATCCAACTATATAATGGATGATATGATGTGTACAGGTGCAGTTTGTTGTAAGCGCGTGGAATTATATTTGTAGTAACTATAATATAGTTATAATTAAAAATTGGCTTTAGATTATAACCTCATTAACAAGGATGAATTCTTTCTCTTTTTTTTTGGGGGGGGGGGATATTTTCTGAAATAAGGAAAAGGTTAGATGGCAATGAAAATAAGTTTATGACACATAATCAAAACTCTAGTCCCTCCATTTTTGGAACCAAAACATGAAAACCTGAGATTAATTAATCAAACAAAATTCAAAGTTTCAAATATAAAACTTTGTGATTAGTGATATTTAAGGCCAATTATGTCCCTTCCTTTAAATGCCCTGAAAAAATCACGACATTATTTTATGCGTAAAATATATAATGTAAAAATCTGTACATTTACAGTTCTATCGGTTTTCAGGAGATGAGAGTAGTTTATTCAACTGTAAATATACAGATATAGACACACCTTTATCTGTATATATACAGTTCTATCTGTTTTCAGGAGATGAGAGTAGTCTATTCAACTGTGAATATACAGATATAGACACACCTTTATCTGTATATATATACAGATCTATCTGTTTTCAGGAGATGAGAGTAGTCTATTCAGCTGTAAATATACAGATATAGACACACCTTTATCTGTATATATACAGATATAGACACACCTTTATCTGTAAATATACAGATATAGACACACCTTTATCTGTATATTTACAGTTCTATCTGTTTTCAGGAGATGAGAGTAGTCTATTCAACTGTAAATATACAGATATAGACACACCTTTATCTGTATATATACAGATACAGACACACCTTTATCTGTATACATATAGTTCTATCTGTTTTCAGGAGATGAGAGTAGTCTATTCAACTGTGAATATACAGATATAGACACACCTTTATCTGTATATTTACAGATATATCTGTTTTCAGTAGATGAGAGTAGTCTATTCAGCTGTAAATATACATATATAGACACACCTTTATCTGTATATATACAGATATAGACACACCTTTATCTGTATACATACAGTTCTATCTGTTTTCAGGAGATGAGAGTAGTCTATTCAACTGTGAATATACAGATATAGACACACCTTTATCTGTATATTTACAGTTCTATCTGTTTTCAGGAAGTGACAGTCGTCTATTCAACTGTAAATATACAGATATAGACACACCTTTATCTGTATTATCTGTTTTCAGGAAGTGAGAGTAGTCTATTCAGCTGTAAATATACAGCAATAGACACACCTTTATCTGTACATTTACAGTTTTATCTGTTTTCAGGAAGTGAGAGTAGTCTATTCAGCTGTAAATATACAGATATAGACACACCTTTATCTGTATATTTATAGTTCTATCTGTTTCCAGGAAGTGAGAGTAGTCTATTCAGCTGTCCATATAATCCTAAACATAACTGTGGTCCTGGTGAGACAGCAGGGGTTAAGTGTTCATAACTACAGTAGAAATGAATAATAGTCAAATATTTAATCATGAAGCATTAATAGAAGCATTATTGTATCACATCTTTTAATTAATGCATCATTGAAAATCACATTTTTAGCAGTAGCAGAAATTTCTTTTTATAATTATTGCAAAATAACCATGGATTTTATAAAACAGCAAATACATCTTTATGAACCTAATAATAATAAAATAATACAATGCAGGGACATTAGTTCCAAAACTAACACATGGCCCATTTCTAACACTGAGCGTTAGAAATGGGCACAAATTGAAAGACTGGGATTTTGGGATCCCAGCCCATATCCAGAGTAAAAGTTGATAATTAAAACTATAACCAAAATTTTAATAAACATGACGAGGACAAAAATTCCCTATTTTAAACTTTTTTTTGAATCAACATTATTATAGGAGTTCTTTTTACATTAAAGCTCTTGACCATTTTTAAGACAATCTTAGGTTTTCCATTTTCGAACATATCCCAAATTTGAAAAATTGCCGAGTTTTCAAGACCAAACCCACTTTCACGTTTTTGAGTATAATCTACAATTCAAAATAAAACTCACTTTCATAACTTACAAAATAAATCACTGAAAACAAAAATAATCTTCATTTATTCATTTTTTTATTCAACTACAAAGCATGAGATAATACAAATAACAAATCACAATTTACTATGTTGTTTGGACCCGCCTAACCAGAGTTGGTTGTTTTGATTGGTTGGCCCATTATAAGCGAATAAGAATTGTAAATAAATAGATGGATGTACAATGTACAGTGTACATTTTAAGCAAAACAATGATGATAAATCATGGATAACGTAAGGAGGGGGTGAAAAAGTATAGGGGAAAGGGTGGGTAATCAGCAGGGTGACGAAGATAGCATAGACTAAGTTTATCCACATGAAAAACAGTTATTTTTTTTACAGATATAACTTGCATAACTATCTAGGATGTTTTTGAAGATTTTTCTTTTAAACAGTTTTGCAGATTAGTTCACTATGATTCATTAAAACAGCCTTCTATTAATATGTTATCTGAGAAAAAGTGGAGTTATATATAGCGAATTCTACAAGTTTGGAAATAAAGCGGAAGGAAAATATTTTAAAAAGAACCCGCTCAAGTTTATATGATTTTGTTCTATTTGGTTCAGCTAAAGAATCCTGGAAGGAAGTTGGAAGATTTTTATAAAAGTATTTACGCATAAAAAGATAGAACACCTAGTTTATATGTATCATCAAGATTTAGAAGTTCTAATCTGAAGAATATTGGTTCTGAATGTGTTTTTAAATGAATTATTATTTACTGCTTTAATTGCAAAGACTATTATTAAGCCTAAATTAACTTCTGAGTTATTTCTAGAATCTAAGTTTCCACATTTTATCTGTTAAATTAGAGAATATTGATGATTTATTTATTTTCAAGCATTTAAAAAAACAGTTTCCCGCTTTTCTAGTTAAATCTATATTGTAGGAACAAATGATATTAATATTTTGATTACTAAATGCTGTAATGATTTTTAAATTATAAAAGAAAAGTTTTTTTTTATTTTTTATTTCATTTATATTTTACCTAATCAAAAAATCTTGTTTTGTTTCATAAGTGTGTAAATACTTGAAAAAATTGACATTGATATGAATTCCGGTAATTGTTTCAAAATAGGAATAAGTTCGAAAATGAAATCAAGAATCATCAAAAACTAATTCTCACACCTCATTATTAGTTTAAAATTGCCATTTATTGTTTCAAAATATAGTTTTTTCCATTTTTTATAAATATATGGTGTAATTTTGTTCTACTCGTCTTTGATTTAAAATATATCCTCTTAAAAAAGATAACTTTGCAGTTTTAGTGTTAGTTTTGGAACTAATATCCCCTGCAATAGGGTTTCCAACGTAAAAGATTATTCACTTACTCGAAATTACGTGAAGTTTCGTGAAATAATTTTCATGTCGTGTAATTTCGCATGATTACACGGCGTTATTTTTCATAATTTCTACAATTTTGCGTGATTAGCGAAACTTCGATTTCACGAAATTTCGCCGTAATTTCGCATTATTTCTACTAAAGTAATTTTGCGAAATGTTGCAATAATTACGCCTAAATAGCGAAACCTCCATACAAACCAACCTAGTCAGAAGAACATTTTAACCTGCTAGGATAATCTAAATACATCAGAAATTTTATGACTGAACTCACAAGAATGAACAAAAAAATAGTTTTTTTAATTGTAAACTGTAATTCATTATTTAAAAAAGAGCATTCTTTATTTCCAATTCTTTAAAAGGTTTAAATACCCCTGATTTACGTTAAAGTTCGTTAATTTGATCTACCCCCACCACCATCTTATACACTTGACATATAAACTAAACAGTTTGTTTTCAATCTTCATTCCACAGAAACAATCTCAAAGAATAACAATTTTCTTAAAACATTTTTTAAAAAGTGAATATTTGCAAATTATCTTTTTTCCATCTCATGATCTGAGTTCGTTTCCCTCTTGTCCATTTGACAGTCCATTAAAAAAATATTAAACAATATTTTTTGTTTGTTTATTTTCTTGTGGTTTTTAACATCGATTTTGATAGTTATTATATCGCTAGAACTGACGAGGGTCAACCTAGACTGAAATATATTTCAATAAAATGTGGAACTATACATACTATTTTTACTCTACAGAGGTTTATTTCATCACCATAAACGAATTTTGATTCAAATTGAAAGTATTTAAATTATCCAATCAGATTGGAAATGGTTGTAGCGCATATGCTTACACACACATATTTTCCCGCTACATTAATTTCTGAGAATTAATATGTACTTTACTAATTACGGAATGGTTTCATATTATGTAATTTTTCATAATTACGCCTTAATTACGCAAAACTAGACTTTCTTTCGTATACTTAATTAGCACATAATTTTGCGTAATGCCTCTCCGTAAGTGAAAGAAATTGTTACGCGTAATTACGACTGGAAACCCTACCCTGCAATGGCTGAACTTTTAAATATTAAATAGAAATTTAGCCATAACTCCATTCGAAGTAAGACATACATCCACACTTTCAACATTAATGACAATGCTGCATATTTCAAAGCCAGATATTTAATTTAAGGAATTACCCTGAGCCAGCGATTAAAAAGCTTCAGTAGAAATGTAATTCCTGAAACCCAGCTCTAAGACCTAATCTTAGTCCAAACTCTGACGACAGCTTGTGTCATTTGATTGACACCTGAGAGATCTTGAACTCACCGAAGTTTGACCCAAATTCTGTGGAAAATTAGATGCAACTGAAATAAGGCTAACAACAGCTTAGACCTGAGTCTTCTTTTCTTTATTTTTTTTTTATCGCTGGCTTAGCAAATGCAATTTAATGTTATATGTAAGAACTAATGTAATAAATCCAGCTACCTATAAACATTTCTGTGGTCTATTAAATCCAGCTACCTATAAACATTTCTGTGGTCTATTAAATCCAGCTACCTATAAACATTTCTGTGGTCTATTAAATCTAGCTACCTATAAACATTTCTGTGGTCTTTTAAATCCAGCTACCTATAAACATTTCTGTGGTCTATTAAATCCAGCTACCTATAAACATTTCTGTGGTCTATTAAATCCAGCTACCTATAAACATTTCTGTGGTCTATTAATCCCCATACAAATGTGAGGAAATCTGTTAAGAGGTTCATGAGTTATGATCGGACAACAGGCAAACAGAGATTACTACTTTATATTTACAAATAGAAACATAATTTGCTTCTACTTCTACTTTCTTTAACTGTGACATCTTACACATAAAAGAGTCAAAGGAACTGAGTCTTTGCCACAAAGTCAAATTTTCTAATCCCTTTATCTTTGCTACCTGATGTTGTACACCTTAAATATTTCAAACTTGTATTACTTGATATAACAGATTTAGTTTTGACAAATAAATGTTTTGGGCTTTGTATCTCTTAATCAATTAGAACCATTTCTATGAATTTTCTTTTAATACTGATTTCTGTTGAACCAGAAAAAGGGTTTCCAACAAATTATGATAATTTGGAGACAACTGTATTGACTTTATTCTGCCATATATCTGCACTCAGGATTCCATGTAGCCATAAAAATTGTTTCTTTCTTTATCAGATTATAATTCAATATTGCTTCAAAAGCCTTTATTCAAGAAAAAGACAAAATTTAACCTTCATATTTTAAGAGTTTCAGTCTATAGGTAATCAGAAACAGGGGCAAATACAGGCTGGAGCAATAAGGGTGAGCAATAAGGGTGAGCAATAAGGGTGAGCAATAAGGGTGAGCAAACTCAGAATTATCTCTACATTTTCCGAGGCTCTTCCAATTGTTTAAGGAAGGGGAAAATTACGATGTTGATCCTATTTCTGAGGATCATCAAAACCATTAATCTGATTAACAAGCCAGAATGGAGGCTAAATTGACTCTAGTTCTGAACCCTCTAGTAATAAGTTATAAGAAATATATATACTGGAAGTTATTTATGCGTTTTATTAGAGTCTGACTCACGTCCTCTATATATTTATGATTTATCTCTTTATTTTCACGTTTTTTTTCAACTATGTGTTTCCTCTGTTAAAGTGACAGTCAAATATATAAAAAAACAAACAAAACAATAGTGATTATCGTGTCAGAATTGAACACTTTGTTTTCTTAAGCCAGAAAAATGACAAAATCCACCATATAATTTAAGGTCTTTTCTTTAAAATTAATTTTGTTTGTTCACAAAGCATAAAATTTCGTAAAAAATCTATAATCTTAAAAACTAAATAATCAAAAGTAGAAAGTACAGTGTATATTAAGTATAAGAATAAAGAAAGAAAATACAAGAAGGAAAAAATAAAAGAAGGGGAAAAAAAGAATGTAAATATTCAGAAGAGAAAGTAGAATTGAGGAGACAAGAAACAGAAAGGAAGGATGAAATAAAAAGAGAGAAGAAAGATTATCTCTTCATATCTTTTTTTTCCTTTCTTCTCCCCAAATTTACTCTTTGCTATCATCCTGTGTGATAAAATATTCATTTATTTTATCCTTCTATTTTCATCAGAAATATTAAAAAGTCTTTCTTAATTCCCATGCTTATTGGGACATTTGTACCATTTGCAAAAATAAATCTTGAATTTCTTGGAACTTTTTGTATCTTAAAAGTGTCAAATATGTAATAGTATATTGATTGAGAATTCGTCGGTTTTTATGTACTCATTATGATATTTTACAATCCGACACATTGATAAATTCAAAACAATATACAGAATACAAATATGTTAAATACCATGCTTTTCAGATCCTACATATAATATTGTTGCTAACCTAGTTTCTAAACAGTTTATTGTTTAAACATGTGTGACATATTTGGCGCTAAATTATTCAAAATAGGATACTAAATACAACAGGATCCAGGATACTGGATTCATGATACTTGATACTGAACATATGGTTTTGGATACTACATCCTGCCCCCCCTACGGGGTGAACGTATAAAATGCCTTTTTTTGCTGAAAAATAGGTGAATTTTTTATTAACATAGGTATGTATGGTAGTAAGCAGATACTTTTCTTATAAAAGTATAAGATTTTTTTGTAAAATCATGATAAAAAAAAATATATTTAGCAAGAAATTCAACTTTAAAAATCTTTAAATTGCCTCTTTTTTTTCTTTCAGAATTGCTTAAGTTTTTTGTCTTGGAAGTGACGGTAGTTTGAAAATGAAAAAAAAATAATAAATGTTGAAATTAAGATTTTGAAAAGTCAGTGGAAGTGAGGGTAGTTTTTAATTTAAATAAAATTCTTGAATAAAAGTTGATAAAAAAGTTTCAACTTGTCAGTGGTAGTGGGGAATTGAAAAAAAAATTTTGAAAAAAATGTTGATATATAGATTTTGAAAAGTCGGAGGTGGTGAGGGTAGTGGTAAATTGAAAAATAAATTTTTTTTTTAGGTTTTTAGGTTGAAGGCAGCAATGTTTAATAATCTACATCAAGTGTTTTATCCCTAAACAATAGTTTTCCGGTTTATTTTCAGATTAAAATTGCTTGTTAAAATACTTAATTACAGAAATATTGGTGTTCCATGAATAGAAAAATGATGTCACATATGGAAATTTTTTATCAGATTAAATTATATCCGGTCGACTAACTGTCATCAAAACTCTTTGTTAATAATACTTTATATACACGGTGTTTTTTAATCTTGTCAATTTTAAAACTTTAATTTGGATTTTGAAAATTTATATTTACAACAACAAATACAAAAATGTTTAATATTATGTCTTCCAAAAGAGGAGTTCCTTCAATGGACTGATACAGTTTGGGGGACAAACTTTTAAGTGTACGGCATTTACTACAAAAGGTACATTTACATTTACATGTTTAGACAAAGGAACCAAAACAATTGCTTAAAATTATATTCAATTGTCTATTTTTAAGCAGGAAGTTGTATATAACATTAATTAATTCTCCTATTCATGTAAGTATTTTAACTTTTATAACTAAATAATTTATATTAAAGGGAGTGACTGGCTATGTAAGGTAGTTGAACTGAGTATGCAGTGTTGCGGAAAACTTCTTTCGGATTCATTTGAGACATATTAAATTTTTTAAAGATCTGTAAATCCTAAGTTTTAGCGCAAATTCGACGTTCAAAACTCCTACTTTGGGGGTGGATACGTTTTCAGAATAAGTTTCTTTTTAATTATTAAATAACGACAAAAAAAAAAATTGTACAGTAATCTTATTGAATGGCTAGGAACATATTTCTCAAAAGAAATTTGTCAAAAAATCAATGCTAAATTTGATTATTTCGTTTTCATTATTATATTGAATTTCTTATCTTCTTTGAATTTATTCGCAGATTTCTTCAAATTCTTCAAATGTCGTCTTCTCAATAATAGTTCTAGAAAATCTGCGAAAATCTTTGTGAATAATGAGAAACCGGAATAATGTGAAAATAGAAACTAATAATTGAACAAGATTACTTATTTTCGATGATAAGATTAATTTTTATTTTCGCAACATGTTCCTATACATGACGTCTGTAGTTTATTGTAAAACTTTTTCTATCATTTTATGTCGTCGTTATTTAATAACTTAAAAAAACTAATTCTGAAAAGGTATCCACCCTCAAAGCAGGAGTTTTGAATGTCGAATTTGAGCTCAAGCTTAGGATTTACAGATCTTTAAAAAGTTTAATATGTCTCAAATGAATTCGAAAGAAATTTTCCACAACACTGCATACTCAGTTCAACTACCTTACATAGCCGGTCACTCCCTTTAACTGGAATGTTTGTCCGATTTGTCAAGTCAAGTGTATTATTCCCAGTAAGTAAAAAATGTTTAAGAAAACTAAATTCTATCAGAAAGATGAGTAATATCAATATCTTAGTTTCACAGCCACCAAATGTTTTGAGATTAACATTTTCCTGCACAGTGCATAAAACATGGTGCATCTTTATTTACTAGTTTCTTGCAAATACACTTAACTTCGTAAAAAGTGAAAACACGTTTTAATATAGTAAATGCTTAAACTTTGTGATTATTGCTGCAAAGGAATTGAGTCTTTGCCACAAATTCAGTTTTTGTAAAATCTACATCTTTGCAACCTTATGATGTAAACCTTTGATATTTCAAACTTACATTATTTGATCTAATAGCGTACACATTTTGAAATATTAAAGGTCTACGACGTCGGGTTGCAACGATATTGAAATTAGAAAATCAGAGTTTGTGGCAAAAACTCAATTCCTTTGTAACCAACCCGGTATTTTATTTTTCAGAAGTCACAAAACGTTTTATTCCTGATCCATAGTCTTTTATAAAATCAAACATCACATACAATTAAATATTACAACGATTTATACCAATATTTATTGTTAAACTGTATTAAAATCAAACATTACATGCAATTAAATACCTCAAGGATCTATAACTGTTTATCTATACATACATATATAAAGTTGTAATCTCTGTCAGTCTGTCTGTTTGTTTGTCCGATCATAACTCAGGAACCCATAACTGATTTGCCTTAAATTTTGATTGAGGTACTAAGGAGATGTTCTTAGCTTAGTTTTCAGATTTTAAATTGAGTAGGTTCACTTTAAAAGCGAACATTTAGTTTCCCTGTAAAATCGTTCAAGTGCGGGTAAACAGCGGTAGTAACTTTTAGTAACCTTGGCAGCAGTGCTGGTTTCCGAAATGATATTATATTAAGAGGTGTCTTAAAACATATTATTCACATGTGTTTTGTGTATATTGTGGTTTATACACTCTAGTAGCAGATAATCACATAGGTAAATTATATTCAAATACAAAACCATAGCATTGGTTATTGTATAAATAATTAATAAAATGTTGGTTATAGTTTTTACTTTTACTCTTAATATTGCCTGGGATCCTACAATCCCATTTCTTATAGTCCGTGGTAGAAATGGACCAAGTTTTAGTTTTTGAACTAATGTCCCCTGTTCTGTTAAAGTTTCTCCTCAAATATCCCAACCAATAGGAAAGCTGCATTAGTTGCAAGTGCGCTCCTGTATTAAGGTAAAAATGTATAAATACTAATTTTTTCTGTAACATTATTCAAAAACAATCTGATTGCCTTACTGCACGAACAAACCTCACAAAAACATCAGGTAATTAAATTCATATTCATGCAATTAGGTTTTTAGAATGTCCTCCTTTTTCAATTAACAAATTTATTGTTTAACTCTATAGGGTCTAAATCTATGTATAGTATGGGGGGGGGGTTCCATGCCCACATAGAAAAAGGTCTTAGAATAAAGGTACAAGGTTGAACTTGCAATGCATGTGCATGGTTCAATATTTCTAGGCCACCTCATTAAAAAATAGACCGCTGACTTTAACAAAAATGTTTTAAAAGGTCAGCGAGAACCAGACGACTGTAGAAAAGCAAACCGACATTTAAGCAATCTTTAAGTGTATTTGATGTTGTCACAAATCAAATTCTTTATTTGAACACAGAGCACAGTAATTATGTAGTTAACACGGTCACATTTCCCTTCATAAGGGATCTGTAAGCTTCTAGAGAAAATACTTTGGGGCGGTTGCTGCCCAAAAAAGTCTTCAAGTGGGTCACGCGAAATCTTAGGTCAGTGCACTCTCTTTCCCAGTTTTAGATACCACATTTCCTTAGTCTATCAGCGATCTTTATCTCATCTAGGGGCTCAGATATCAAACTGACTTATTCTGAATATTTCTGCCTACGCATGGAAATTTCATTTTTACGTGTTATCTTTCAATTGACCAACCATTTTAATACTAAAGAATTGGATTTGTTTAACTAAAATATTGGAATTAGAAACTTAAAATTTATAGTTGACCTGCCTGTATTAAACCTTATTTAAACCTACAGGGTTACAGGTTATAGAATCAAACGATGAGACTTCTGAGACGACTGTACGGAAATTATACTGTCTGTTTAATGCCTTATATTCATGATTCCCCTCAACTATAAACTTATGAGTTCTGTCTTTCTTCACCATTTAAATGAATAAGCATTTAATTTAATCTTAGGATAGTCATATTTTAAGCGTTTCATGCTGTTTTTATAATCTCATCCTTTCTGGTTGACCCTGTATATAAATCTTCTATATTTTTCAAAGCAACCTGCAATTATGCCTTCTTAAAATCCGCCTCCTACCATAATTTTCGTTAAAAACAGAACCAAGCTATCAGTATTTTTGTAACTAAATACATTTTAAAATGGACACATTGACAATTGCTATGGTGACGCTACCTTAATATATAACTTGTTAATCACAAAAACACTCAGCTCTTAAATGTGAATAAGGCTCATTATCATGTTTTCTTGTCAGAGGAAAAGTAATTTTAAACTGTCCAATCTAAGGTATTGGTTTTGTGCCACTAAATCAAACTTTCTAATCCCCATATCTTTTCAACCTGTAAACCTTAATTATTTCAAATTTAGACTAATTGATAAAGCAGAAATTATAGCTTGAAATATCAAAGGTCTACTATACCGGGTTGCAAAGATATAGGGACAGGAAGACCAGAGTGTGTGACAAAAACTTTGATTCTATTTCAGCCTTCACTATAGGTTAAAAGCAGATAATAATGCAAAATAAATCAATTTTTTTAGTTAATTTGATTGCAAATGTATCTGAAAATGTAATTTTTGCAGAAGTCTTGGAAATTTGTTGCAATAAGTTTGATTTTTATAAACTTTTCTGTTTTAGAATGCGTTTTATTTTATTGCTGTGTTTTGTGGGGCTTGCCCTCACTAGGCCACCAAGGCCCACCAAGGCCTCAGCAGCAGCTCCTGCTTCCAATCCTGAACCATTATATGCTGATGCTGTTATCGACCAAAATGAGAGCGTTGTCAGTTCTGGTAAGGTTGAGTGGAGAGATGTTTACGCTCGAGGACTTACTCCTTGCGGAAGGTACTACATACTATAGAGATTACAAACACACTCGAATTGATTTTTTCATTTAAAATTTTTGTTCTAGGGCCGATGGAAGACGCCCTTAAAGAAGAATCTCAAAATATATTGTATCAATCCTTTGCCCAGCTCTAATTAAAAATAGAAGGAATTAGATTTAAATTCTTTCCTACGTTAAATTATATTTTTAAACCTACAAATAATTTCAAAGAACATATTAAAGCTATGTAACAGCCATCTTCTTGAGAACCGACTTTAAAGGAACTGCAAGTGTAATGTTAAGTGACCTCCATGATAGCAATACTCAATTTATCATTGAAACCTTAATCTGATCAAAAATCTGGAAGATAATGTCGTCTTTCTGACTCGAAAAGTTTTGATTTATGTTTGTGAATTTCTCCATTTTTCTCCAACAGCAAGATATGCGCAAGGAACCGCACAAATGAAAATAAACATTTTTATAAACTGCTCTAACAATACTGGATTAGACAAAGCTTTTAAAGTTACCTAGCTTTGTGAATCAGGTCAATTGATATGTTTGTATGAAGAATAACATGTAATTACACTTACAGTCCCATTAAAGTTTCGCCAGAATAGCTCTCAACAATTAATATATGAAAATGGCGTCGAAAGTAAAGGCTTCAAAAATATTAAAACTAAAAATCTAAAACATTACAACTGAATCAGAGGCGTAGTCAGGGGGGCTATGGGAGCTACCCCCCCCCCCTTCCTTAGAACAGTGAAATCTACGGAATACTGGGGGTTGTCAGGCCCAAATGGATGCTGAGGCGAATCTATGTAAAAAGTCACAGCACAGGAAAAATGTTTCTGGTTAAAAAACCTAGAAATAAAAACTTTGATAAAAGTCCCAGTTTTCTGAAGTCCTAGGACAAAATTTCACAGGAAATAAAGTCCTGAGTTTTGTATTTCTAGGACTTTTTTTCTAAAATAATATGGGGACTGCCAGTAAAGTCTCAGGAAATCAGATCACAGGAATTAAAGTTCTTAAAAAAATCCTTTGTCCTGGGAAAATAAGGTCAAGTCTTAGACATTTTCATAAAAACGGACTTTTCTTTTATGCATCTGCATATTGAATATTTCCACCGGTGTTTTTAACTAGTCCCTTTTTTCCATGGTTGTAAACATCTTTTGTTTCCATGCATTTTCCACTGTAAAAGGACTTTTTTATAAAAATAAAGTCTTTTTTTAAAAATAAAGTCTTTTTTTATAAAAATAAAGTTTCGAAATGGTAGGACTTTATTTCCAGAGACTTTTCATTTCAAGGACTTTTTTCCACAATTTTTTCCAAAATTTAGGACTTTATTTCCAGAGACTTTTCATTTCAAGGACTTTTTTCCACAAGACTTTTTAGTGCCAAAATTTAGGACTTTATTTCCGAAAACTTTTTTTCAAAGAATTTTTTTGGCGGTTACCGCCGAGGCCCCCCCCCTAAAAAACAAAATTGAGCCCCCCCCCCCCTTCCCCTGACTATGCCCCTGAACTGAATGGTTGATAACTAACTCCTGATTTTAGTGTGAAATATATTTATTGAAGAAATTATTAGACTTGTAAACAATTATCATAATTAACAAAAGTTACAAAAAATACATATAATATTATTACATGTGTACGAGTATATTAAATTTTTTGATATATATCTATATAACAAAACTTTTAAAACTAATATATAACAGACGCGATAAGCTTATGTTGTACACAATAGCCTGGATAACATTTGTAGGAGAAATGTAATGAATGTGCAGTTTTTGTGAACATTTTGTCTATTTCATTTTTTAACGGAGCTAGTTTTAACATTTAGGAATTGCACGCATATTTTTTCCCAAAATATCTATGCAGAATATTATATATCAAAACTTACGAGTCAAAGGGATTGTAAGCCCTACTGGGGGTTTTGTTTCGTTTTCAAAAACGATCGTGTGAATAATATGTTTTAAGACCCCTCTTAATATAATATTAATTGGGAAACCAGTGCTGCTGCCAAGGTTACTGAACGTTACTCCTGCTGTTTACCTGCACTTGAACGATTTTACCGGGAAAACCTACTCAATTTAAAATCTGAAAACTGAGCTAAGAACATTTCCGTAGGTCTCCTTAGTACCTCAATCAAAATTTGAGGCCAATCAGTTATGGGTTCCTGAGTTATGATCGGACAAACAAACAAACAGACAGACTGACAGAAATTACAACTTTATATAATTATGTTAATGTATAGATAAACAGTATTATAGATCCTTGTGGTATTTAATTGCATGTAATGTTTGATTTTAAAAGAAAGAAAAAAAGACTATGGATCAGGAATAAAACGTTTCTAAAATGCATACAATGAGAGTCATTAATTCTGAGAATTCTACTTTTCAGTGTTGGTAAATAAACATGAAAGGAGGGGGGGATGCTTGTTTTGTAAAATCATACTCATTACAATACAGACAGGGTGTCCCGAAAAAACGGTTCGATTTTACAATTTTGGATATTTTCAGAGACTTTGTAAAATTTCTCATTGAGTGGGACCAATTAAAAAGTATGCATTAAAACAAGGAAGTTTAAATTTTGCCATTTTGTCTAGGTTGAAAATTGATATTGATAAAATAATAAAACTAAAAGAAAAACTTTTGTTTGCATTTAATTCACATCTATCAATGATTTAAAATAATAAAATAACAGAAACCAAATATACAGAATTGGTTGGAAAAATAATACAAATGAATTTCACCTAGTCCTCCTTGTTATTATTATTAATATTATCGGCATTAGTAGTGATTTTAGCAGGTTTTGATGACAATGTTGGCGACCAATAGGAAGGCTCCTATTAGATGATATTTTAACTATTCTTTTTTACTGGTTTATCAAGTTTAGTTTTAAGATCTGTAACCTAAATACCAAAAAAAATATTGTTTAGAGTTAAATGTTTTTCTTCAAGTTGAAAGTATTAAAGTTCAATATTTTTTGTTTTCGTCAACATTTTTTAATTTTGACAGTTCAAAAACATTTATCGTTTTAGCCATTATGATGTTTATCATATCGTTATATTATTTATCATATATTTATAAATTTTCTTTTTAAATGATCTAAAAAGAAATATATTTCAATTTTTTATAGTGAATTACCAAAAAATAACCACAGCGCAGAGACTAAATTATATTTTGTTTAAATAACAATAATGAGTTTAAAATGTATCATCCTTGTTAGAATCGAGTGTTTTTAAGCATTTGATTTTTTTTAGAAAGGACATTTTATTAATAAGACATTTCACAGGACATTTCTTGGATAGGAAATTTCTAAGATAATACATTTTAAAATAGGGTTATTAAGCACCAGCACAAAGGGAAAAAGTAATGCGTGCAAGTTTCAGACTATCAGTACTCTAGGAGTATTTATATTTGTTAATCCATAAATAGAGATATTACAAGTATTCAATATTGATTTCATATAACTGCAATAACTTGTAATTAAAGTGTAAAATGAGTATTTTATAAGGAACAACACAATACTCTACATGGTGAGTTCAAATATACATACTCTTAGTCTAGTATACAGTTTACATATACCCACTTCCCAGGCAAAAATCAACAGTCAGTTTTACGCGATTTCTCATACAGGGTACAATTTTTAGAATAGGCAATGGTTATATCAATTTACTGAAAAAGGGAATGTGCACTGAACTCTTTTAATGGGCGTAAACAGGATTTCGTCACAGTGGGGGGGGGGCAAAATTTGTTTTGACATTTCACTTTTACAGGGGGGGGGGGCTCATCTTAAACAGCCCTCATCCCTGTAGAGTGTAGATCAGGATTTCCTGCACAGGGAGGGGGTAAATTGAACGATTTGTTAAAAAATTTCCTTTTTTGGTAATGATTGACATGGAGAATGGAAATCAAGTTTCTAGAAGAAGGGGGATTACCCTCAGGGTTTTAGGGAGGAGAGGTACCTACTTCCAATAACCCCCTCCCCTCTAAGTACGCCACTGGTGTATGTAAATGCTCCTGAGTCCTGGCTGTATTTTTGAACAATTGGTCACTGTAATCTATCTATATACATACTTTGCTTGTCTGTCTGTCTGTTTATATCCGACAACCGATAGAACCCAATTTTTTTGTGGAACCTCGCCTAGCCCCAGGGAAGGTCTATGGATGATCGAATTTTCAAAAATTTGCATACATTAAAATTCTATTTTTTACAAAATCCGCAAAATTTTTGTATGTTTTTGTTTTACAATGTACACAAAGAGAACATAATGGAAAGGGAAGGTGGGCGCGAAGCGTCCTAAAAATAAATGCTTGATATATGATTGATATTCATCATAAATGCCAAACATAACAATTTTCAATCAAATTATGAGCGTTAAATAACGTAATTTCTCTACATTTATCATAAATAAATTAAATAGTTATAAGAAATGGAAAATAAATAAAATGAATATAATTCATAACGAATTGATATATGAAGTGTATTAGAAAAGGCAAGCATATGTGTATATATTTGGAATAGATACAAATATGCGCAAATGCACCTTGTTTCAGTGATACAAGGATTTAAAAAACTCAAAGCGTGACATGTAAGGTTTCGCGATTAAATGTAGACACGCAAAATTTCGGGCCTTCAAACACGGTGTCTAAATTATTTTTCAAAGGTTGAAAACACTGCGCATCTGCGCATGCACAAATTCACACAGTTTTCAGTTATGAGAAGAAAATTTGAGTGTAGATTAAAAGTAGATGCAATACGCGCAAGTTCGGCCGTTCAAACACCATGTCTGGATTATTTTTTGATGGTTGAAACCATTGCGCGTTTGCGCATGCACAAATTCACACAGATTTCAGGTACGAGAAGAAATTAGAGTCTACGTTTTTATATTATAAACTCTATATTTCTCTCTATGCGCAGATTCTTTGTTCAAAGAATAATGTCCTGATTTTTTATTCTCAAAATATTTCACATCTACTTAGTAGCCAGCCAACTTTGTTACTTATGTTTTATGTATGATACAATCTCAAAATATTTATATCTACTTAGTAGCAACGCACACACCTCAACTCGATGACCCCATTTTTTTATTTGGGGGTAAGAAACATCTATAGTGGCACAGGTGGCATAATGGCCGATCGAACACACTGTCTCTGAATATGGGATGGCTCGGTCTTGGAAGTATCTCCAGGTAGGGTTGGGAGTAGGTGAGCTGGAGAAGGAGTTAAAGGGGACTTACAATCCAGAGGAATGAATCCTTTTCAGTGGTGAGCACGAACCTGAAGAACTTCATGATGTCATAGACTGTGTAGTAGGGATGGCTCCTTGAGCGCATGAGGATTCCCCTGAGGCTGGGGACGTTTCCAGGGGCAGGTTGGGTGACGTCATTGAGGCTGAGGCCGGATTCTGTACGCATGGAGCTATCGGTGGTCATTTTCACTTTGGTGGAGGTGCTGGTGCTTGAAAAAAAACAAAGTTATATGCAACAAAGTGGAGCTGATGATCGTTTCTGTGATCCTCAGGGTTGATTTCCACTTAGTTACCATTGTACACCTGCTGCTGGATGTACTTGTGCATCTCTGTTGTGATTTCAGGCTTGTTGTGGATCTTGTTGGGCTGAGCATGGATTCTTTTTGTGGCCCTGTAGTAATTATTGTCTCCACCCAATAATATAGACACCTGTCTGGAGTGTTGCCAGGTTGAGGACCCCACTAGTGACCTCCACTTACTCCCACTAGTGACCTCCACTTAC